AATTCGGGTATAGAAAAACTCAAATATTTACATATTAATTTATAATGAAATTTTGCAGGAATGTAGCTCAATACAAGTGCTGGCTAAAGTTTCATAGAAACCTGAAGTTTCGTTATGGAATTATGCATGATTAACAGAAATTTTAGGGGGTGTCGGAGACTTTTGGTCACCCACTGTACAACTTGAGAATGGTGCAACTGAATATATTTGATTTACCAGAAATTGCTAGAACAGATCTTATATTTTTAGAAATCGATCGATCCCTCTATCCCGCATTGAGTTTTTTACAGAAAAAGATTATCAGAGAGGTCCATAGTAATAGGTTGAAAGATGCCTCGAGCAATTGATAAACTTTAAAAAAGTCATGTGTGGAAAGATAAAGCCCTATTGCGCCAAGATAGTATATCTCAGATTGGAAGGTTTAAAAATCTCAGATGCATTGATTAGTACGATTCTACACTCGTGTCCAGATATATGCATTCTTATTCTTGACCAAGTGTTGGTTTCACTAATATACCAATTATAGAAATTGCCCAAAGCTATTACATCTGAGTCTTAATTCATGTATATGCATCTTGGACGAACTTTGCTCCCTGCCTGATAATAGCACACTCATAAGTGCTACATTACTGTCAGGGTCCACATCCATTGAATCTTCTGGTCTTCCCTCTTCTGGTATAACTGGTGAATTCAGGACAAACTTTTCACCAATTAAATTAGTTAAGGCCGAAGTTCTATTAGATTGGGATGATTGCAAACCTCTCCTAATAGAATTTGGGTCCACAATAATATTGATATTCTCTCCACAATCGGTAAATTGGCATGTGCTGGGTTTGGTATGTAGAAGTTGCTTCTTGATACATGGCCTGTGAAAAATATGTCCGCAAGAGAGGATGGTGAGCACTTTGATGGGTGATGTCAAAATATTGATCGTACACTCGGAGCATTGCCCGCTCTGAATTTCTTTATTTTCAACCATATCATCCTCAAGATACTTCAGGATATTATAAGCCATGTTCCTATGATTAATAAGAGATGGTTTGTAAGGTTTCGAAATCTTACTTTTTTCTCCACCACCACCACCATTATTATCATAATAAATTAGGTCACCCAGGTTGTTGTAATCATTAGTAGTACTCAGGTTTTGCTAGTTTTATAGCATCACAGGAGTAAGATATTCACCAGCAATTATGCACTGCATTTCGTCATTTGTTAATCCCTTGCAAATCTATAAAAATTGACTTCAGGATTAGCATACATATCCCAAATCTCATATGCGAAATATTGATTGCTGGAAAAAATATCCATTCCCGAATATTGTTTTATTAATATGATAATAGCATCATGACACAAAAATAAATGCAAATCAAGTCGAAAAAATAATGGGAATATATATGCCAATCTTACGTCATACAGCCCCTATTTTCGGCAAGAGTTTTGCCGGCGCATTCAGGTGATCGATAAACTTTAGTTGCCTCTTGTTTTAAAGTTTCGCTTGTTCAATCAACTTAAATTACTTTGTAATTATTCAAAATCTTAAGCTAAGAATCCTTATAGATTAAAAAATAAAATTTCAGTAAGTTTCTGTCTTTTAAGTCCATTAATTGCTTTAGAGAGCTCATCATTTGCCATAATTTTATATCTTTCTTTTTCGTTTTCATCCCTCAAAACATAACTTTTTTCCCAGTAATCACGAGATCTTTGAATTAATTCGCTAATTTTAAACATAGTGGGCAATAATTTATAATAAACTTCATCACGTAATTCTTCGTTCATTTCGACATCTAATATAAAGACAATAGAATATAAATTAATATAAAATTGATACAGTACATGATTAAAGTTATTGAACTTACCAAGTTTTCTTTTTTTGTTGTTTGTATAATCTGGCTCATCTTCAGTCTTATCGTTATTATTGCACGACTCTTCCTGATTTACAGCTTCGTTATTATTACACGGCTCTTCCTGATTTTCAGCTTCATTATTCTTACACGGCTCTTCCTGATTTACGGTTTTGTTATTCTTACACAGCTCTTCCTCAGCTTCTTTGGTAGTAACAATTGGTTCTTCCGCCTAAATAACAGATTCGTTAAAAGTTACATTTATTACTTTTATTGTCTGGTAAATCATAGATGATTAGATATAACAGTCAATGCTTACTTTTACGTAAACAACCTTTCTTTTTGATTTACCAAAATAATACGACTCTTTTATCCTGATGTCTTCATCTCCTCTGGGACCATCAAGAGTGGCGTTTTTATAAGTATAAAAGAAGTCGCTCGCATCTTCATGACTGAGGAAATGTATGTGAGCGTAGCTACAATTAAATCAGAATCAGCGCGTGAATGAATTTTTAAAAAAATCAACAGAGAACATAGAGAATATAGATTACATAGAAATGCTTACCCAACATGCATATTTTTTTTTACATGCACGAATGGAATTTTTACTGTTTCGCGTAGCCATGTTTCAAGATCTTCTTCATTAAGGACGTTAATGTTTCCGTACAGCATCACAGATAATTCAGGCTTTCCGCAACAGGAACGTCCTTTATAATTTGGAACTAAAAAGAGAGTAAGCAGTTAGCATCTCATAAAGAGAAGGTAAACAGAAACAGCATCCCATCAAGGGAAGGTAGCATCTCATAAAGAGAAGGTAAACAGCATCCCATCAAGGGAAGGTAGCATCTCATAAAGAGAAGGTAAACAGCATCCCATCAAGGGAAGGTAGCACCTCGTAAAGAGGAGATAGCATTCCCGCTAATAAAAGGAAATGGTATGCTTACCTGAATTCATTCTAAGTTAGAGAGCTATAATAATCCACTTGTATCTTATCGTTATGACCGAATTGAATCTGATTTAGTAAAAAGGCCAAGAATTCGTGAACTAGAAGGTGTCACTGCTGTAGGAGAAAAAAAAGGTTGAAGAAATGTTTTATATACAGCATATGATATTTAACGCGACTTTTAACGCGACTTTTTTAGTATATTAATATAGATTTCTAGTGAGTCAGTGATGGCGAAAAAAAAGGTCAGTCACATGATCAGACAGTCAGTATGATTGGATAACATGGAGCATCCGAATATAGTAACTACCCGATGCTGAGCCCCTTGCACCTAATGCGATTCGATAGTTTTGGAAGAAAACATCAAGCTCTAATCCGTTTAAGCGATATTCGATAATCGGTTCCTCATTAAGAATTTCCTTAGCTATCTGGATACATCTAGTCTGGAATTTGCGATTTTTCTCAGCCTCTCTTTCTGTCTGATCCTGTTCTAGTTTTAAAATTCTAGCCTCTCTTTCTGCCTGATCCTGCTCTAGTTTTAAAATCCTAGCCTCAAGTGCTTCAAGCCTAGCTTTCTCATCAGTTTTCTTAGCCTCAAGTTTAGTGATCAATACTTCAAACCTAGCTTTCTCTTAGCCTCAAGTTCAGTGATCAATACTTCAAGATCAGATGACATGATAGATAATATTTTCATACACGAATTATTCAATGTTACGTGGCAAATGTAAAATCGCTTTATTAATAATGCGAAAAATAAATACAAATGTTTTTGGATAAGCCACCCACGTGATTAGGAAAAAAAGACGATAATTCAGTCCATACGAGTATGCAATTCACCCAATAAGTCTCCTAGGCAGTTACCGGTGAGATAATAGGACTCATCATTGGGGAGGTTTTTCTTTCGTATCCTCCATACGATAGTACGTGTAATAGTAATAACTTCTATCACGTTCACCATATTCATTATATCCACCGTATCCATCATCATCCGAATCGTTTGGCATCTCTTCTTTCACCGACCGAGGTACAGAATCAAAATACACACAATCCTTCGCACAATCTTCCAAGAGCATTTTGTAGTAATCGTCCTCAGCTTCGAGCGAATTGCTTACCTCAGCCGGTATGGGCATAGTTGGAGCACTTACTTCAAACTTTTTGACAAATTTTGATAACACAAACATGAAAAGTCAGCAGTCCATAATGACAAAATGTTGAGCAATGCTTAGATAAGCACTTGGGCTGCGAAAAAATGTCCTGTTGTTTTCATGTATGATTGCAAACGTTCGCGTTCTTCGCGCGTTTTATTAATTGCTGTGTTCATAACACGATTGGCATGTCAATTAAATAGAATTACAAAAAACCGTGTATTCAAAGTTATAAATACCTAACGTTATTGTCAATTGTAACTGATTTCGAGACATTCACAGATCTCATTCTATACAACTGTAATCAGTATCGCTCTTATTCAATAAATCTCTCTAAAATGTCTACAAACATGTTCAACTTCCTCTCTCTCGAAAAATTTAATGAATTAGTTGATGAATATTTGACTTCAATGCCACATAATCGTCGTGAAAAAGCCTTGATATCTTGCGAATTGTCTCACAAAATACAGGAAATATTACAAAATCCTGGCGAAAAAAATCATCACATAAAGCTGCGTAATTGGGCCCACCATCATTTTACTATTATGAATGTCAATGACACAATTTGCGTCATTGAAAAAAAAAGAGATTTGTTTGAAGGATAGCTTATACACTGTTATTGGGGGATGCATCGTGAATTGCAACATGCTGGCTATCGTAAGACTTATAAAGCTGTAAGTTTGTTTTTTTTACATGTCGATGTCAAATGATGGATACTAACTCAATATTCAATCATAGATTGCTAGTCAATATAGTTGGGTGCCCCGTATACTAGTACAGAAATTTGTAAATTCATGTAATATCTGCACAAACCGTCGAAGGTTGTTGATGCCTGCTCTCATCCGACCACTCATTGCACTGGAATTTATGAGCCGATTGCAGGTATGGACGTTAATGAGCTTAAAGTAGGTATTTAGTTTGACACATAATTTATGACATTTGATGGTAGATTGACCTCATTGACATGAGAACGCGACGAGATGACCAATACAAATGGATTGCACATGCAAAAGATCACTTCACTCGTTATTCGTGGGCATGTCCTCTGTTAGCAAAGAAGCCAAGTATGTTGCTGGTTTTCTTTTCAACATTTTTATGCAATTTGGCGCACCAATTACACTGCAATCAGACAATGGGAAGGAGTTTGTCGCGGCTATAATAAGAGAGTTGGTTGCACTCTGGCCAACTACGCAAATCATGATTGGAGTGTAGGATTACCACTTGTGATCTGTAAGTATAGCTAATATAAACAAATCCATATACTAAGGACAGTCTAGTAATATTTATTATAGGGGCGATAAATACACAAGAGTGTGTTGCTACTGGACAAACTATCAACTCATCTTTGGACAAATGCCACGTAGTAACATGGCTCTTTTAGATGTGTTACACAGCTAAACATAGCTGATGAAGAGGAGTTCCCAGAGGATCTAGTTGTTGAAGAGAACACAGCATACACAAAGGTGAAGTTAGCATTAGAGATGAAGCTGAAGTTGGGAACAAAGTTGTTGAAATTGATGCTGAAGCTGAAAATGAAGTTACGATAGATGAAGCCGGGATTGTGGGATTATAGTCAATAATTCAGACACTTTTATATTATAGTCAATAATTCAGACACTTTTATATTATAGTCAATAATTCAGACACTTTTATCTGACACTTTTATGGTTGTACAGCATATTTTGAATATGGTTTGATCTTCATCAATTTAACCAGGACAAATTCCGGACTCAATAATAAGAAGAGCATTACTGACATTATAATTAAAGCTATAAAGTAGACAGTAAAGGTTGTTTAAGCCATGTAATAGTTGGTCTGTACAAGC